CAGCAAATCAGCATATTAGAATGATTTCTGAAGGATCATGTGACTGGAGTAATGATGCTGAAAATTCAGCTTTGATCACAGAAATAAATTACATTTTGAAATATACTCAAATAGAAAGCAGTTATTTTAAATAGTAAAACTATTTCACAATATTACTGCTTTTGCTGGATTTGGGATCAAATAATGCAGGCTTGGTGAACAGAAGAGACTAATTTAAAAAACATAAAAAAATCTTACTTTTCAAAAACTTTTGACTGGTAGTGTACGTTCATTAAATAACCTTGCGATCAGTTAGTTAAAAGTGATTACAAATGCCTCAGAAAATTGCAGATAGTTTTGAGAAATGTTTTCTAGCATCATTTGTTTGGATTCAAATATACAGTATATATCTCCAGTGTATAGGTATGTCTCTACATATTTTATATGGGCACAAGCCGTGTAAATTCCTACTTGACTGTGGCACGTCTAAGGACTGTGTGTTTGTTATTGATGGTTTTGGGAATGACTGATGCTTGTTAACTTTCCTTTAGAACCCCAACGACATCTCGTACGTGTACAGTGGCTATGCGCCGCTGAGTGTTCGCCTGACACAGGTGCTCGCTCGTCCTGGCTGGAGGAGCATCGAGGAGGTGCTGAAGATGCTGCCTGGGCCACACTTTGAAGAGAGACAGCAGGTTCCCACAGGCCTTCACAAGAAGCGTGAGTGAGGAAAGACAGTCATTCTAGATCAGTAAACCCATCATAGTCTTAACTAGGGTTGCAAAGGGGTGGAACATTTCCGGAAACTTTCCCAAAATCCCTGGAATGTTCCAAAAATTCCTGGAAAGTTCCCAAAAATTCCTGGAATGTTTCCGAAATTTACTGGAAATTTTCCACCTTTTTGCAACTGGGCCACACTTTGAAGAGAGACAGCAGGTTCCCACAGGCCTTCACAAATAACATAATTGGATTTAAAGAGTCATTCTAGATCAGTAAACCCATCATAGTCTTAACTAGGGTTGCAAAGGGGTGGAACATTTCCGGAAACTTTCCAAAAATCCCTGGAATATTCCAAAAATTCCTGGAAAGTTTCCAAAAATTCCTGGAATGTTTCTGAAATGTACTGGAAATTTTCCACCTTTTTGCAACCCTAGTCTTAACCATCTTAGTAATGAACTTGAGCTAGCTTGTGAAATTCACTTGAAAGTGCTTCATCTTAGTGTGCGGGAACAGAACACTTTGATTTGTGATGCACTATTTTATCTATTTAGCATTTTTGGTTTACATTTTTATTTTAAAAAATCAAAAAAAAAATAATTTTTTTTTCATTTATTTAGAATTATTTCTATACTTCTTATAGAGTTGTGTGTGCCTCGAAAACATGGTCAGGTCAAAGTGTCTGAATAATTTTTGGTCCCAAATTTTTATCAGTTTTACTGGTAGTCCACTGTATGAAGAATTTTTAAGGGTATAATATGTCAGTTTACTTTATTTTGCTATCCTCACTTACATAAATGAACTATAGTGTCCTGCACGCACTAGTAAAAAAAACATCAACAATTATATCTGGTGACTGAATAATTTTTGGTTTGACTGTATACTTCATACAATCAAACAGGTAGTTAAGATTTGCTATCGTCGCAAAATGTAAACTTTATTATCGCCCAGCTCTAATCTGCTAAATGTGATTATCAGGTATGAGGACATTAAGACATTATTAGATATTATTTAAGTAAAGCTGCTTTGAAATAATGTGTAGTGTTAAAAGCACTATATAAATCATGTTTAAATAAAACACTTTATGCATATGTTTGTATATGGTTCTCCTTCTCTTTAATTTGCAGGTCAGCCTGGAGAAAACAGAACCACCCTTGTCTTCTTTCTTGGCGGTGTGACGTATGCTGAAATCGCTGCTCTGCGGTTCTTGTCTAATATGGAAGATAGTGGGACTGAGTACATTATTGCAGCCACCAAACTCATCAATGGCACCAGCTGGATAAAGTCTCTCATGGACAGTCCTGAGGAAAACTTGCCTTAAAGCTGCCATGCGATCTGTAGGGCCTCACAGATCCTGCTATCGGTCAACGGTAATGTTTTGTGTACATGTAGAATGTGAGTTATATCAAACTGTCGATGCTGTTTTGTCTGATCATTTTTAAGGATTATGAAGGGGGTTGAAATCGCTGTTACGATACTAATTTATTTATGAGAAAACATTTGTGAAAACAGCCACCTGCATCTGATCTAAGCAGCGAGGTTTGTGAATTAACCGCTAATGCAGTGTAGAAACATACTAATGTTGTGTATATAACCTGCTTTGTCGGATTGCATGTTTTCCCAGAAGCCACCATATATTGTTTTAGCAAGTAGTGGCAACTTTTTCGATAATGCATTCCTGGTCTACATAAAAAAGAACTATGTTGGCTTTAGCGCATGTTCATATAATAATTTGTTTATCAAAATTATAAAATTGTAACTCCTTTACAGCTGTTCATAACTGTACAGTTTGAGTTCTGACATTAAAAGGGATAGTTCACCCAAAATGAACAATAAAAACATTGACAGCCAATCCAGCTGAACTCGAGTGTTTAAAGTGGCATATGAGAAAACGGCAGCGTAGTGTTATACACTGTATATGATCTAGCTGAATTAAACCTGTTTCCAAATTGATGAACTTCACACTGTATCGATCTGAATTTAACCAAAACTGAACTGACTTCAGCTAAATAATGACACCATTGTCTTTTAGAGCTGCTTTACAGCAGAATCTGAACCGTTTTCAACTCTCCTTAGTTGTTTCCATAATTATTTCTGCTATTTTCCTGTTCCTATTATTAACATTCACATACAAGTATTAATATTCACAAGTTTCTAAACAGTCAATATTCATCACTGACATGTAAATATGGGCGATCCTTTAAATCCTTTTTTTGTGTGTGTGTGTGTAAAGACAGACACATGAAAATAATTGTCCATTCTGATATTTAAACAGATCATTTAATCTTAACATTGTGGCATACTCTCCAAATACAGGATCTCTCAGGTGCATCTGTGGTCATACACTTGGGCAATGATACACATGCTTCATGAAGAGCAGTCATCATCATAAGTAGAGTTTGATGAGCTCGTCGCTGACAGCAGAAGGCGTCAGCACACCGAGGTCCGTGAAGAGTAATGTGATGAGGGATGGAGGGGTATAGTCGATCATGGGGTGCTCTTGGTTCAGATCCTTCACTGTCTTCAGGATATCTGCTTTATACTGAAACACAAGAAACAAGAGCGATGACATGCATCTATTATGTGTAACTGAAAAAGTGTTTCAACTAGCTTGCCTTGAATCTGTCGGGTACGTCTTGCTGGTTCAGAGGGTAGAGCCGCACAAACTTGAAACTTTCTGCCACCACATAAAATGGTTTGTTGTGTGCCTTGGAGCACACGGCCATCTGATAGGTACCAATCTAGGAAATAAGTGGAATCATTTGACCGGTTTATAAAATAAATGCAATAATAACAGCTAAATGCATTTTGTTTTAAAGGAACACTCCACTATTTTTGAAAATAGGCTCATTTTCCGACTCCCCTAGAGTTAAACAGTGGAGTTTACCGTTTTCGAATCCATTCAGCCGATCTCCGGGTCTGGCGGTAGCACTTGAGCGAGATGCTAACGGTCTAATCAGATTCAATGATCTATGCTAAGCTACAGCTAAAAGTGCTACCGCCAGACCCGGAGATCGGCTGAATGGATTCGAAAACGGTAAAACTCAACTGTTTAACTCTAGGGGAGTTGGAAAATGAGCCTATTTTCAAAAATAGTGGCGTGTTCCTTTAAGGCAAGACACTGCAGGCAAAACCATTGTTTTTTCAGGCGCTGGTCAATTTTGAGATTTTGGTCTATTTTGCTTCCATAACCTGTTTTCTTTTCATACTAGCGGAAAGAAAACATCCAAAATACACATTTGAGTGTTTATTTTATTACACTTTATCTATTTGTGTCTGTAGATTTCAAGTACAATATACCTCTGAGGCTGGGACTCTAAATAGTGTTCTGTGCTCGTCTGTGCAGCCAAAGACAATACAGTTAGCAAGATTTGCTCATACTTTCACCATGGCATTAGAATTGGTACACCTTTGTCACTTGTGAAAACACAATGACAGCGCCATGGGTGGAAATTTACAGATTAAGGGGCGGTCATATTATAATGAGATCCCTTTGTGACGTCACTAAAGCGCTTACATGCACAAAACTTTAGTTTTATTCCTATCAATATTCTAAAAGAGGGGTTTGTTTATATATCTTTCACCTGATTTATATACATTTTATTCCTATTTCTTTCCCTAGCGGTTGGCAGGATTTTCTGATTTATGGAATATCCAACATCCCCTCTGTAAAAACACTATTATGTCAACAAAATGAAACGTGAATTCTGAAAATCTGACTTCTGAAAACTTACTAAGATTACTTAAAACTTACTCAGATTTCGGTTCTTGAAATGTGTGCAGATGAGTCCATATTAGCATAATTAAATCATGTAATTGCTTAATTTGCATATTCAAACATAACATTTCAGAAAACGTTTTAATTCAAAACAATTGTCTTCATGTACTGTAATTATTCAGCTGTTAAAAATATGGTGGCTGCGGTCTGCTAGTTACCGTTTTCCTCTATTCAGCTGTGGTGTCTTGCCTTAGATACAACTGCAAACATCAAGAATGCAAAAGTATGTATGTTTCTGACCTTGTTTATTACACCTCCACTTTCCACAACGCCCTCAGCACCCACAATTACCAGGTCAACCTTCTCCATGATGTACCTAAACATCACACAACATAAGCAGATGTTTATCCGCAGCAAGAACTTCAATCACTTTAATCTTATGGCCACAATACGATATCCTAAGATTGGTGTTGAAGCTCACCATAAGTAAAGCAGTCCATCAAGAGAACAGAAATGTTTGGTAACACTTTATTTTCAAGGATAAATTCACACTATTAACTAGTTGCTTATTAGCATGCATATTACTAGTATATTGTCTGTTTATGAGTACTTCTAAAGCACATACAGTATTGATGTCTTATTCTATATGAGCATATTTTAGATCCCTTAATCCACCCCATACCTAAACTTAACAACTACCTAACTAAGTATTAATAAGCAGCAAATCAGGATTTATTGAGGGAAAACTCTTAGTTAATAGTGAATATGTGTTCCCTAATCTAAAGTGTTACCAACTGTGACCCTGGAGCACAAAACCAGTCATGAGGGTCAATTATAGGACAATATTTGGCCGAGAGACAACTATTTGAAAATCTGGAATCTGAGGGTGCAAAAAAATCAAAATATTGAGAAAATCATCTTTAAAGTTGTCCAAATGAAGTTCTTAGCAATGCATATTACTAATCAAAAATGAAGTTTTGATATATTTACAGTAGGAAATGTACAAAATATCTTTATGGAACATGATCTTTACTTAATATCCTAATGATTTTTGGCATAAAAGAAAAATCGATCATTTTGACCCATACAGTGTATTGTTGGCTATTGCTACAAATATACCCCAGCGACTTAAGCCTGCTTTTGTGCTCCAGGGTCACAAATGTTTATATTGCTGATATTTCTGATTAATAGTTTTTGGAACGACTAACTATTGAATCTGAGAACTGATTTGAGTAGTACGAGAATTAAAGCAATTAAGAGGTTCATTACTGTAACAAAACGACAACACTTACCCGACTACAGCGTCAAGCACCACCGTGACGGGGATATTGAGTTTGCCTAATTTTTGAGCCATACGTTTACTAAGGGGCGAGAGGGGAAAGAAAACATTCATAAAAGACTGCAACATAAAAAAATAAATACTATATAAACAATGAATGAATACATACTTTTAACATGTCTATTAGGGGTGGGAATCTTTTGGTACCTCACGATTCGACTCAAATTGATTCTCAAGTTCACGAGAATTTTAAATCAAATTTTGATTCGATTAATGCATAGATTTGATTCTAGTATACGGTTTTGCGTTACTTTCCTAGTAGACAGTTTGATAGTTCTTCTCTGAATTAAATGGAGACCTTGAAATTTATATATTTTTTTCTTCCTATTTTAGTCAACCCAATATTATAAAACAAATGCCATGTAATAATGATTCTTGAAGGTTTTCCTCTGTAGTCGTGCATTAATGGAAAACTACTAGTTTCTGAGAAAATGTATGCAAAACTGAAAAATTTAAACTTAATCCAAAAACTCTGAAGCCGTTGTACTTTGTTCCAGTATTACTGCATGTTGTCTTTGTAGGGCAGAAGAGTAGACAGCAAGAGACACTCGAGCAGTGCACTGAAGACTCACCCTGCTGAATCCGGCTGTGATTCGGTGACATATACTGTAAAACGTTTGTTATCAGCTGCTGCATTTTCCAGAACCTTTAAAACCACTCGGGACGATGAGTGTGTCAGGATTTTCTGCAGATGGAAGGCAGATATGAGTAGAGCGTTTCCAAAATAATGACAAAAGGACATGCCCTGATTCCTCTAGTACTGCACTTACAGCTCCATCTTTGATGAAGGTGTGGCACAGTTTACCCACTTTGCCCCTGGACAGGGATATTTTCTTCAAGAAGAGCTCACCTCGCTCTATCATCACATTCTTACACTGTGAGAGATCCTGTGAAAAAGAGAGAGACAGCGACCATCACCATAACAAGATCAACCACACAAAAGTGACAACTGTGCATAAAAACATCGTATAAAAAAAAATAATAACAGTGATTTGAGAGCATAAATAAAACAATGGGTATTTATTGAAAAAATGTCATTATTGATTCTCTTGAACTGCAATGCAATTGAAATGTGACACCAGGATTATTATAGTTAACTAAAACCATTTTCGATGTTGAAATATTTAAATTGTTGAAAATAAATACTTGAAATAATAAATTATTAAAAATTAATAAATTAATTATTAAAAATCATACATTATTGAAATATTGAAATAATGTTGATTTCAAATTAGTTGAAATAAACATTAACAGAAATAAAATAAAATATATATTAAAAAAGTATTTTATTTCAGCTACTTTCCAAGGTAACATTTCTCATTTTTAATTTGGTTTAAATTGAAGTACTAAATTAAAAATAACTAAAAACATAGACATTTTAAAAAGAAAACTAATAAAAATGACTAAAACACACAAACGAATTACTAAAACTTTAACTGAAATTAAAATGAAATTGGAAAATAATAAAAACAAATTCAAATTATTCATATATATACAATATAACTAAATAGCATAAATAAAATTCTCTAGTGTAGCTGTCTATAAACCTAGCATTGAATATTCAAATATACAAATTGCTTTTGTTCTTCTTTTGTACGGTGCTTTGGATAAAAACGTTCGCTAAATCCATAAACGTTTAAAACTAATGTGCGGCAAACTCGACTTTAGAAGAGAGAAGTAGCATTTTCTGACTGCATTACTCCCACATTTCAGTGAGATCTGAACCTTGGAATTAGGGCTGCACGATATATCGTTTCAGCATCGATAAATATAACTAAATAGCATAAATAAAATTCTCTAGTGTAGCTGTCTATAAACCTAGCATTGAATATTCAAATATACAAATTGCTTTTGTTCTTCTTTTGTACGGTGCTTTGGATAAAAACGTTCGCTAAATCCATAAACGTTTAAAACTAATGTGCGGCAAACTCGACTTTAGAAGAGAGAAGTAGCATTTTCTACTGCATTACTCCCACATTTAAGTGAGATCTGAACCTTGGAATTAGGGCTGCACGATATATCGTTTCAACATCGATATCGCGATGTGCGCATCCGCGTTAGTCACATCGCAGGATGTGCGATGTTTAGTATAGGCTACTGATCGTTATATTTATACTGATTGTTTTCTTTGCTCACACACAGACACGGGGTCTAACCGGATGCAACAGCTGTACAGAGATACCCATTTTAAATACATTTAGTAGCAGAGCTACTGCACGCGATTTTCAGTGCTGGAAATCCGTTTATCCTTTGTTAAAAACTTCCACATCGTCGTTGGAGAGCACAGGTCACGGTCGCTTAGCAACGGCAGACGCCACGAAAGCGCAAACTGGCATTTTCCCACGCGTTTTAAGGCGCGACATGTGAACGGCCCCAAAGT